AATAAACTAATCATCAATCAAGACAACCAAGTTTGAATACTAAAAAGATGTTTATTTCTTCCTTTATATGATTATAACTGTACATAACAACAACATATTCAATTATATAACATAAAACCACTGAACTACAGCTCAAACACTTCATTGGTGAACAGAATAGTGCAAAATAATATGTCCTTATTTCCAAATAATGTCCATATCCATCTTCATGTATTAAATTAAAGATGAAAAGTTACGCATATATCCTAAAAATATTGCCCTGTTGCATAATGACATCACTGTATCTTTATAGAGTGAATAGATACTCGGAAACAGTGGAAATTTGCAAGTAATAAATAAATATTCTCTTCAGAAGTAGAACTTTAATCTAAAAAGTAAATCATAATTTGTAGAAGTTTTTTTTGTTTTCTTTGTTTCTTTCTTTTCTCAATGTCTTAGAACAATTGTCGACATTTATATTCTGCATTGCTATCTATCAGTTTGGTTGAATATAGAGGATATTAGACTACTGACAACAGCTAGGATGTGTTAGAGTACAAACACTAAAACTGTGCAACATAAATACCACTAAATACTGCTAATTATATCGTTTTCTATTGTTTATTAAGACTATTTTGTAGTAAATAGTGGAAAGTATTGCACACATTTAATGTTTGTACTCTATGTATGTGTCAATGGTTGATTTTGGACATCATTGATAATTGAAGCCATTCTGTCCCCTTCTGGTGATTAATAATTCTAAATGAAGAGTGGTTTGTTGTAATGTTATTATGCAGAAGAGCAATTGCTTTTTTTTGTGCTAACATATAAAACAATTCTATTATTTTCCATCAAAAAAAAGACCAAAGAAAAATTGGTAACAGCTACGATGATAAGCTTTTGCCCCAGATTGCAGAAAACAGAACCTTGATTATATGTTGATGGCACTGTTCTTTGATGGATTATTATTATTATGAGTATAATATGATAATTAAGTCTTTAGATAAAGTACAGCAAATTCAGTTCTAACCCAAAATGTTTCATAACCAAAACTGCACAAACATTCTGAATGTATTCATTTGAGTTCTCGCATTACATATTACTGAAAAACTTGGGAACTTAGGGGTAAAAAAAAAAAAAAAAATGACATTCACATGCTTAACACTCAAGTGGCAAAGCCAAAATCCAAATGTTTCCAAGAGAACCTATGYGAGTTTGTGAAAACTTAACCTTTTCACACCAAGCGGAGATGTCATGCAAAATCATTTAGCTATCTCACTCAGAAGATAAGTTACTACTGGCTACATGAACTAATAAATCTATTGTAAAGTTTCTCACATATACTGCCCCTTCAAAATGAAAATATTTATTTGAAATATAACAATTTAATACAACATTAGAAAAGAAAACTTTGTGAACTTTTGAGCAATTTTGTTGCACAAACATTTGATAAAGAACGTTCTAATCTGAATTCAAGAGATCTTTCAAGTTTCTTGCTCATAGGTTTAGTGTTTTTTTCCAGAAATCTTTCAACAGTTTTATCAAAACATAATAGTTATTTTATACAAAAGTACATTTCAAGCACAAATGTGCATTATATTCAACATGCTGTTGCATTTGTTGCAATAGCATGCAGATACCTTTTAAACAGTTTTATAAATGCACTAGATTTATATACTTAATGTTGTTGAGAATCCTTGATGATTGACTTCTGCAGTTAAAA